TGTCCTTACTACTCCAAGGCAAACAACATGCATAGAGTTCAACCCAACTTGTTCTACAATATCGATAGAAATTTCTTCTAAAATAGTTACTTCTTTCCTGTTATGGTGTTCTGGCTGGCCTCTACTTCTAAATGACTTGTCATCCCACATGGGGTCCATCCCAATTTTAAAAAAAACCACTCGATTTCTATGCATTTCTCCTTTTTGAAGGCACCATGTGCAAGAATAATAACCAGAATGGCCTTTTATTCCTAAAATAAATGCTCGGGCTGGAGCATCTATAATAAAGCATCTGATGCCTACGCTATAAAATTTGCTTTTACATTGGAACCCAGTTTCGGCAAGTTCCTTTACTTTAGAATATCCCTTGTAAACACCTATTAACATAACTTCTGTATATCCAGGAACATTACATAATATGGGCCAAACATTTTTTGTAGAACTTTTACATAAAGGCAAGCCATCAACATTTACGTCAATATTTAATTGTTCCTACTCGTAGTCATTTACTATTAAAAATCTGTAAGTTAGAGATGCAAAACCATCGATGTAACTTTTGATATTATCGAGGTTTTTAAAAACGGCGATACATTGATGTTGTTTTTCAACCATCGATGTATCGCTAAGAGATAGAGATGCAGCCGTAAGTAAACTTTATAAATGAGCACGTTTTTTCCAATATTTTAAGTTTTGCTACAGTTTATTTCATTTGAAACCCCTTAGGGCGGTTCCTCGTTCTGGATGAAGTGTGGTTTTTTAAGAAATGGACTGAATTTTTTTTTATTTTATTTTCTTTATTTTCGTTTTGTTTTTCATGGATCTCAATTTTTCGTTAAATAAATATAATTAAGTATTAAGGTTCAGCAAAACAATCATTTCATTAACAATTGGATAATTTTATGGAAAAATTAAACAAACTTTCGATGGTTTAAGCGATATATCGAGGTTTTCAACCATCGATTGTGAAAACATCGATGTACCCAACATCAAAGGTTTTCCATCTCTACTGTAAGTGCTTCAGACAAACCGTTATGAGCCGTCGCCCATACTTCGGCTTACGACTTCTTTTGGCGTTTTTTTAAGTGTTCTTGAGTCTTTGGGCACATTCATGTTATTATTCCTCAATATTGCCAATTGTTAATTTAGTACATTATTGGCAATGTTGTTTTTAATTGCCCACTGCTCAGGGAAAGTCTCTTCGTAATTGAAGTCACCGTCACTATTCTCGTCAGAACTACTATAAATATTGTTAAATTCGTCAGGGACATTAACATTTACTGAGTCAGGTAGATTTATATTGTCTTCCATGTCAGGTAAATAATAATCTACTACACTCACAGGTACATTATTAGTTGTTTTTTTTTCACAAGCATCTAAACATATTTTTTCCGAAGAGCTAGCAACAATAACTGAGTCATCAGTCTCGTAAAGCGCTGAAAATAATCGCGCATCGTTGCGGTTAGCACGTATGTAATTTAGCAGCCTTTTTTATTTTTTTCTCGTACATTAACATTTTAAGATTATACAAAAAAAGTTTTAAGTCAATCGGACAAAAACGTTAGAAGTTATGCTAAAACTAGTACCCTAACCTCTAAGACTTTAGGTACGTGCATCTGCGTTTTTCTCGAAACCACGTTCCGAAAGTCTGTGTTCATCGGCATTTCTAAACGGCTCAACCAATCGTTTTCAAATTTTTCGCATATTTTTCTGCATAAAAAAAAACCGCCCCCTGGGAAGCGTTTTTTTGTATTTTTTAACTTGAAATATTTTATTTTTAAGCCGAAAGCCAAATTTTTTAGGTGAAAATCGCATTTTTGACTTTGGACTTTCGAAAAAAAGGTTAAAAATAAAAAATTAAAAAAAGGGCTTCCCAGTGGATCGCAATAGGGTCCTAACGGATTATTGATCTCAAAATCGTCGACATATAGAAAGAACGGAAATACTATTTTATTTTGGCCTCTGTTGGCAAGCATAACTGGCTTCCATAAATGACAATTGGCAAAATTAGTAATCTTAGTTTGATTTGTAAGAAAATGTAACCTGTTTTAAGAAAGCAGAAAGCACGTTTAGCAACTCAAATTATTTCTTTAGATGAAACTCAATTGGGAAAATTACGCCAGAGGACTTTTTTGAACCTAAAGTCATAGTATTTTTATGCCTTTTTGTTGATATGGTGTTATCAATTGTTAAAGTGTATGGGGTCCTTATATAACTGCAACTGTTTAAGTCTTTTTATTAATTTATACTCATTGTCAATACTTTAAAACGGATTATCATAAAGCTCAGAGTTTTTTTAAACTCTTGCGTATATTGCCTGTGCTTTGTCATGAATTTAATTGATCTCGTAACCCTTGCAACTTTTTCTTTATCGGATCCGTAATATTATGCTTAAAATGTTTTTGAATTTTAAATGTATTTTTTCGAGGAAACGTCTCCTTCACTGCGTTGCAAACTTCTGACTGAAATCATAATACCCTCTGCAAGGGTATACAAATTTATAAACAAATTTTCAAGAATTTTTTTTTTATTAATTTTAGGGTTTTTGCCGTAAATTGTAGAAAATTTTTTTTAAGAATGTAGCCCCCAAATTATTGGATATTGGATAGAATGATGCGTTTTCTAGCCAACCTCAATATGACCTTTTCACATATATCAGGCGGAGCATAAGTGCAGGTGTCCGGATTTCTGAGTCTGCAACTGTTATTGCATGGCATAACTTCGGTTTGCCGGACATTTAAGGACATTTTGAATTGGAATTGTTATATGTTGCTATCCTAATGAGCCTTCAAAGCAATCTCATTTTTGGCCTCTGCTAATCCCTAGGATACGTTGGAGTCCCCACCCGCATCCACACCTCGATAAGGCTCCGGCAATTAACAGGCCGTAAGTTCAATTGGCTATAAAACACAATTTGCATTGATAGCCGCCGCAGGCTTTGTGGAGGGATTACAAAAGTCACACGTGCTCAAGTCAAAGTCGATGAATCAGAGTCATTACAGATGCGATATGTATCCCCCGGGGATTAGTTGTGTGTTATGCAATTACTCATGTGGTAGTGCAACTGCGGAGGGAGATATATACACCTATACCTGAGTTACCTGCAGTAAGAAAGCACCTAGAGTGCACTTTGGGTCGCCTCGCCTATTACTTCTGCTAATGGCGTGCAATTGCATGTGGGCGGCACTAAAATCCGGGCTAAACACTTAAATTAAACACCCGCCAGCACTTAGGGCAATTCATTTCATTTCGCCTCGTTTTTGGGCCTGCAAAGCAACAACAAGCTGCAAATCTTGGAAGTGCAGCTCTGTGACAGGCAACCCTCACAGCTCCATTTCCCATGTTCCATCCGTGGGGTTTTTCCAATTTTTCGACTTGATTGGGGGTACTCTCCAAATTGCGAGCAAGATTAAAGGTGAACCAGTCGTGGAAAAAATCCTCGTATGTTTAAGGCACAGCGAATCATAATTTGCCTAATTTAAAGGATGCTCTGCATTACTTTTTATACTGTAAATTCTCTACACAGCGCTGTACACTTTTAAACAAGAAAGAGAAAGATGGAAATATGAAACTTTGATTGCGCATAACTATTTAAAGAACAGCCCCATTTGAACAATCAAAATAAACCCTCATTTACAAAATATTTTGAAATGCGTTTGCTAGATCGATTATAGCATTTAAGGGGCTTTACAGTGGGTGAGGCCCTCGTCTGGAGCATACACGGTCTTCATGGGAACTAGTAAAATATGTATGAAACATATGTGGTTGCAAAGCAACATACTCAGAAGTTTCAAGTTGATCATTTAATTTTTCTCTTAAATATTTATTGATTAATATTAATATTTATTTATTTATTATGGTTCTATAGTAACAGTAATTGAATGTTTCAAATTTGAAAAACTTAAACATATTTTTTATTAAAATATAATTATTTGTGATCTAAACAAAATGCAATACATTTTTTTTATTAATATGTAAATATTAGTGTTAAAAAAAAAAACAAAAAGACAACACGAGTTTTTCGTCTCGACGTGGGATTTAACTCACACTTGCAGCCGCAAGCTTGAATAACTTATTCAAGCACGCACGCGCTAGACCCCTACGCTACCAATCCCGGAAATTTTCTTCGATTTATTTTTTCTTAGGCCTAAAAAATGTTTCTAAAAAGTGTATAAGAAGGGAAATTGATCAAATGCGGTTACATTTTTTATTTTCTAGAAAAATATTTCTTAAAATCACACATTTCTTTCGTACTGTTAGAAAAATCTTCAAACATTTTTTCTGTTTTTAGAAAAACAATATTTCTATTATGTAGAAATATTTATAATTTTAATGGCAATTTTTTTTGTATTTTTAGAAAAGTTCAGTCTTTTTTTTTGAAAATCAATGGCGATTTTATCCCTCAAATAAAAAAAAGAAGATTAGAAAAATAAACCTTATAATTTAGAAAAAAAATTAATTTTTCTGTATTTGAGAAAAAATTTTCTAAAAAAACTCGTTCAATAGAAAATTTTTCTTAAGATTAGAAAATTTTTTCTCTTTATAGAAAAATTTTTTGAGTGTACTTTTACAGAAATATGATCAGTATATGCAAGCAACTTTCTGCTTACACTTTTAAAAAATATTGATTTTTGGAAAAGAAACATTCAAAAAATGAATCGTTCTCCACCTTACTCTGCACTCCCCTAGTGTTTCCGCCCTTCGTTTTTAAAAGCTTGTTGTTGTAGCTGAGTATAGGGTATCTGCTAATCGAGGCACTCGACTAAAGCGTACTATAGTATATATATAGATATAGCATGCGCGGATCCTTGGGGGTGATATGGGTAATATATCACCCACCACTCGGCTGAAAAATGAAAGAAATTTTGGTATTCAAAGGGTATGCAACAAAAAATTTGTTCTGATATCACCCCCCACAACAAAATCCTAGATCCGCCACTGAGATATAGATATATCTTGTTAAACTTAAATCTTAATACCATCAGCCTTATCGCCCTTACCTCTTCTGAATTTAAGAGCATTTATTTATTCGTCACGGATACTTAAAATATAGTTCAGGATATACTCCTCATCAGTCGTATTGTTATCTCCAAGGACAGCCGTCAAAGTTCCACGCTCGCGCAGATTGTATTCTTCGTCAAGATTGCAAATGTTCTTCTCATCGCCAGTGCCTTCGGTTGAAGTTTGAAATTCCAGAGAATAGTCTTCGTCACCACGGAAGTCAGAAAAATAATTCCTGATATTTTTTCCATCACGGATATCAGAAAAATATTCCTCGATGTTTTCCTCATCACGGATGTTCAAAAAATAGTTCCCGATATGTTCCTCATCGTTAGAAACTTCTATTACATTTTGAGGCACCAGTAGATCCAATTCCTCGTTGGGAATGTCTGTCGAGTATTTCGGGATACCATTTTCACCTCCAGTGTTTTCCATTGAAGATTGCGGTTTCAAGTGATTACTTCCTTCGCCAGGAATACCTAATAAACGATTTGAAATATTATTCTGGCCGCTAGTGGTTTCCATTGAAATTTGTGGTTCCAGTGTACTTGATAATTTTAGGAAAAACTTAGGAATATTACCCTTATCACCAGAAGCGCGAATTGAAATTGATGGCTTTGGTAGATTGTATTCAGTTTCACCACCAGAAAATTCCATTAAGGCTTCAGGTTCCATTGGCTGAAGTTCCGCGTTAGTGTTGTCTGAGACATAAAGCTGACTATTGGCCTGACCAACGTTCTGGGCGTCCTGATCCGACCCATCATCCGTAAGCGTTAGGTTATGGTACTTGGCATAGAGAAAAGTATCGGTAACTACGGACAGTGTCGTCCAAGGCAGGCGAAAGTCCTTTTGGTACGGCGGCTCGATCTCGAACGCCTTTGGAATGTACTTGTGTCCATCGGGAATGCCCAGCCGGTGGAAATCGCTTAGAGTTATAGTCGAATTTGATGTATGCCAGCTGTTTAGCAATATTACTTGGTTCTCCATCCTACTATTGTGTACTTCTCAAAGAATTTCTATTGAACTGTCACTGACAACAAACGTTCTATTTTGACAGCTGTCGTTTCTGTGTCAAGTGTTGGCTAATTCCTAGCAAACTTCTAGCTCTAGAACTAGGTTGAGGGTTGCCACGGAAAATGAAGGTTAACTTTATTGTCTGTCTAATAAAAGCCAAATACCATTGCACCCCTAAATCACAAAAAAGAAGTAAAAAATGAAGGAAATCGAATAAGTTCCCGTTAGACTTATGTTTAGAATCACTGGCTCTGTTAATTTATCAGTCTTGGGATTTAAAGCTATTGGCAATGGTTGAACATTTTAACAATTAAGCAGCAAATAGTCATGCTCTTTTGCGCATCCTTGCGAAGCAGAAGATTTGCCATAATAATGCCCAAAGTCTGCCAAGGAAAATGGAAGACTACAGGTACTTTTTTGTAAATTAGAAGATTAATCGGTATAATAATGTCAAAATAATACGAAATTAAAAATTTTTCGCGATTTTTAAGTTAATAAGAATGGAATGCAAGGGTATATAAGCTTCGGCTGGCCGAAGCTAGCTTTCTTTCTTGTTTTTTTTTTTTTTAATTCTTACAAGCTTTAAATTGGGACTAAGGAACCAAACAGTTTAATGACTTTGGTTTCCTCCCCCGAATGACAATTTAGGTTCCGGGTGCAGGATGCCAGCAGCATTTTCTACCGCCATCGTCGAATCAGTGGACCACGCCTCTTTTCCCATGTGCAAGTGCATTGGTTGCAGTTTGAAATTTGAGTAAAATAAATGAAGTTGCATTTGCCAGCACGTCGCAATTGATGGGCAGAGGGCTGGATGGTGGTGTAGCCGAGTGTTCAATGTGCCGCCCGCTTTTTGCTGCCGCAGCGGCACTCGTAAGTAATTCAAGTAAAACCCACATTAAGCTTACTTTGCTAATTGCAAGCGACACGTCGCCAATGACACAACCCCTTTTTGGGGGGAAGGCCCCTTAAAATGGAAAACCACCACCTTCGTCCAACGCCTTATCTACATAAACTTGACAAGGGGAAGGGGCGGGGTGGTGGAAAAGCAGAAGCAGAGCATCCTCGGGAGCAGGCCAATCATTTTAATTAATTTGTAAGAGTGTTGGTAACACACAAAAATTTATTATACTCCAACGACGCGACATTGTCGCCACAGCTTTCCTTTTCCCCCCATCCATTCTTCCCAGCTTCCACCGGAAATCTGCAGAAAATTAAGCTTTTCGCATGTGTTTATTTGGCCGTGCTGGTGTATGTGGCTCTGAAATCAGTGTAAACGCGCCATGGGAACCAAACTTTTGATTGCGAAAACCAAGAAAATCAATCTCCGTCCCAAAACTATATCTTGCACTCATTTCTGCACATAAAAAAATCCTTTGTCACGTTGGCCAATTTAATAGTTAAATGGAGCCAACCGATGGAGTGGTCAATGAAGCAATGGAATAGTAAAATAAATAAAAGATACATCGTTAATTAAATTTACTTTTGTCATTTTTTAGTTTAATAAAAAAAAATGTTCATAATAATGTCACTTTGACTTTAATTGTCGTAATTAACTATAATAACAAGAGAGAACGCTATAGTCGGGTGGGTGTCCCGACTATCTGATACCCGTCACTCAGCTAGGAGTGGGAGGGAGATGGAGATATAAAACTTTGATTACTCATAACTTTTTAACGAATGGTCTGATTTGAAAAATGTCTTCTACATTTCGATAGGTATTTATAAACACTATAAAATTGCATTTATACATTTTTAAAATCTTAAAAGATGTGGGCGTTATGGGGGCGTGGCACCTCGACGAAACAAACTTTTGCTGAGTAAGTTGCAAGCTGCGATGCGACAAACCGGTAATGCGATACCTAGCACCCAAAACTTTGATAAATAACTCTTTTATGAATAATCGAAAAGTGGGTGTGGCGGGAGCCGGCGAAAAAACTAGTGACGATCGCACCTTCAACATACAAAAGTTCTGATATCAACATTTGTTACGAAAAATTATTACATTCGTCATTACATGCACTTTCTAAAATTTTCTCATTGGGAAGAATAAGAAAATCGTATTTTGGCTATAACTTTTGAACGGAGCATCGGATTTTATCATATGACCCCTCATTCGACGGGTATTTTCAAAAGGAAAACAACTAAAATATTGCGTGGGGGCATTTATTTTCACGAAATTAGAAATTTTCACTTTTTTCCTTTCTCCGCTCTCTCTTCCAATCCTATTGATTTTCTGAAAGTCTTGGTATGCTATCCTGTTAGTTTTTGCGATACCTTTCGATTGGTGTATCACTCATTGATCGGACCATCACAGCAGATTTTCATTTCTTCGTGTATATTAGTAGTCGCCTTCGCACACTCACTACGTGAATTGCCGTCCATAGTGATACCCGTCACTCGGCTAAAGGGAGTGCGAGGAAGATGGATATATAACAATTTTTTGATTGCGCATAACTTTTTAATGAATGGTCCGATTTGAAAAATGTCTTCTACATTTCGATAGGTATAAATATACACAACAAAATTGCTTTTATACTTCTCAAAAATCTTTAAAGGTGTGGGCGCCAGACACATTTTAAAAACCCACCCCAAAGAGCTAGAAAGACACATTCAAAATTTAAACTTGCCTACTTCAATTATGTTTCTTACACTTTTATACATCTGTATCAAGATAGAAATGATACTGAAACTAATCAAATTGATCATCATTTCGTATCAAGGTCCTTTTGTTTTTATGTATTAAGTTAATAGTTCTTCTCAACCCGACTTGGCCACTTGTCGGGGTCACCCAGGAGACCCTGCCCAGTCATAATCAGTGCAATTTGCTTACGCCCCTATCAGTTTTCGATCGAATACGATAAAATGGTTAAAATGCAAATGAAGAGTGGCAGTCGAGGCAAATGGAAAGTGCAAGCAGGACTTGGGTGAAAGTGAAGAGAAGTTCAACTGCGATATGGATATACATATCTACATATGTATACCGATACAAACATACATATATGTATATGCAAAATGCCAGACGAGGGAGTTCCAAAAAGCCTTCGCAGAAGGAGGTGGTGTTCATTAAGCCGTTGTCACTGAAAAGTGGGTGTGGCGGGAGCCGGCGAAACCGAAGCGAAGCAAATGAAACACGTAACGGGAAAAAGTTGTGTGTCCAAATTGCGAACGTGCAGACTTGAAAGGGGGAGAGGGTGTCGGTGTTGTGGGAAAACCACGGAAAGGGCGGTGGGACACAATGTGGGGGACATTTTGTGACTCCTCTGTCGGCGTTTAAGAAAAATGTCTGCCCTTGTCGTGTGTCATTTTGCTCTTGCATGCATAATGACAAAAATAAAGAGACCAAGTCACAGCCAGGACAAGAGAGGGGAGGGAGAGGGGGCCTCCAGCAAGTGCGAAAGAGACGGGGCAAAGTGCACTTGGGCGACAATTAGAAGAATTTTCTCCATTTTATTCGTTGCAGGAGCAGAACACGGAAAAAAAATGACGTCGACACGACAAATGAATGTAATTGTGTGTGTGACACTTTCTTTTCCACAGCGCACACTTAAACGCATGCAAACGGAAAACAAAAGCAAATAATTTATTATGGTTTTACGGGCTCGCTTAAATTGATATAAAGGTCAAGAGTGTGCACGTGTGCTGAACGTGGATTTAGCCAGAGTGATGTGCCCACCCCTACGCATTTCCCCTTCCCGGCCCCTCTCCGCCCACCTTGCCCACTGATGAGTGAGGTCTGAAACGAGGCCACTTCGTTGCCCAGCTTGAACCCAGTGGCCTACCACGCACAGACATTCATTTCAGACTGGCACACTGGGGGAAAACTGAACTAACTCCGTATTCGATTTGCAATCTGGCGCTACAAGACAGGCGTATGTGCAACCTGCAATGAGTTAAATAGTTATTCCCGATACTCGTAGAGTAAAAGGGTATATTGTATTCGTGCGAAAGTATGTAACATCTAGAAGAAAGCATTTCCGACCCTATCAAGTATATATATTCTTCATCAGGGTCGCTAGCCATGTCCGTCTGTCTGTCCGGTTGAAGGCTGAGATTTAAGATACTACAAAAATTAATAGGTTGGGATTACCCACAAATATTCTTGGGCTTCCTACGCAGCGCAAGTTTGTTTCAGCCGAGGGCCACGCCACCTCTAACGCCCATAATTAAAAGAAGTCTGGCGCCCACATCTTTAAAGATTTCAGAAAAGTAAAAATGCAGTTTTATTGTGTTTATCAATACCTCTCGAAATGTAAAAGAAATTTTTCAAATCGAACCATTCTTTAAAAAATATGCCCGATCAAAGTTGTATAACTCTATCTTCCCCGTCGGGGCACCCGACTATAGCGTTCTCTCTTGTTTTATTTCACACAATTCAATTATCAATTATGGCCAATTATCAGTTTTAAAATTCCTTTTGAAATATAATTTTTTGAATATTAACCCCCGTTGTATAATTTCGAAACTAAGTTTCATTATATCCTGGTAAGCATCTATAGTAGTTACGGTTATTTTCTCGAGTGTCTTCTTGACGTCCATAGGACAATTGAGTTTAATCAGTTCAGATGAAATTTATGCAAAATTTTCCTTAAATTCCCTTAAGCTCATTATTTGAAGCTATTTATAACCTAAGAATACGATATGAACAATATATTTATAGGGTGACATGTTTATTCCAGATGCCCAATTTTAATATGTACATATGTATCTATGAGTAATAGGTCATTTGAGTATCTCATGTCGGAAAGATGTTGGTTGCTCCCAAGCTACGATCGAAAAATAATTACCAGACAAACAAATTATTTACTATAGCATCGGAACTATCGGATTATTTAAATACAAATCTGCCCCATATTTGTAAGGCTTCTAAGAGCTTCTGTTATATAAGTTTAATTGTAATTGCAGGGCATGGTTTTAGTTCCAAGGGTATATAAACTTCAGCTTCCTTTCTTGTTTTAACGTGCATATGAAGACCTATTTTTTGCTTTAACTAGTCAGTTTCTTTCTGTGCCG